ATATACAACACATCTTTCATAAATGGTACGAAACATTCGTTTTTCCTGTCATCTGGCGCAATGTCAATACTACGCCTTATTCGTATAATATACAAATACATCTTCGTACAATCAAACCAACAACAACTTATTGTGTCCTAAAGTGCTGATTGTGTGTTGGAGATGGGATTTTTTTTTTGAGAAATATTGTCGGTTTGACCAATACATGCAAGTTACCACAATAAATCATCGCGGTGGTTTTATGTTAGAGAAAAAAAAATACATGCAAGCAGCAGAAAAAGCAAGAGAAATCGAAGTACCGCTCCATGAGTGCTTCTTATTGCATTTAGCTTTACTTGACTCATAGCACAGATTGAGCGATGGATAAAGCACAGATCTGACGATCGCAAGGTTCATGAGTCGAGTTCGGTCTGAAGCCTATTTTTATTTTTTGTCATATTTATTCCTTCCAATGATGAAGTTATTTTTACCCATCCTCACTAACACACTCCACATTTTTTGGTTTCCACAACCAACACTTGTGGACCGCTGGTTGGGTGTAGCGATCAGAGGTGGCAACAGTACATTTTTTGAAAAACCATCGTCCAGAGCGAAACAAAACAGCCATCACACGGGCGGCCGTTTATAACTACATTCCAAGCGAACAGCGGAGATAGAGAATAAATAAAATCTCGCAGCCTGATTTTTCCAAACAGTTTATTGTAATGAAATTTTAGCTGCAGGGTTGGGTGTGACAATAAATTACCAACTCCCTTATTTACGCATAATTTTAACATCAATGCTTATGAGTGGTCAGTCTTCATTCTTATCTTTTAATTCCATGCAATAAACATCAAATAAATGCAGTAATTAGCCAGAAATCAGCAAAATTCTACACGACATAAATTTATGTCGCACGCGCCGCCGGTCTTGTCTGCTTCTTTGTGCGGAAATGTTCTATCGCTGGCAGAAAACAGTTTAGAAATGTCATGACATTTTTACCGCTTGCCAGTTTGGTTTTGTGTGTCGTCAAAATGGTTATCGCAAAAAGTATCAAATGTTAAGGAAAAAATGTTAAACTCCAGGACTCGTGCCACCACTGGTAGCGATAGCGAGTGTGTCAGTTCTAACGAAACTAGCTTCATACAATGTACAAATCCATTTCGTTGCAGAAAACAACGAATAAATTCGTAGAACAAACGAGCGATTTCGTTGTATAAACGAAATTTTATTTTCAGTGTATGTTCAACTTCAATGTATCAGCTGACGTGTTGGCCTTTTCCGTACCGTTGACCGTAACTATTTAGTTTATGTTTTATTCATTTAGACAATAATTGTCAGTTGAATTTTTCAATATACAAATAAACAAATACAAATAAATTTATACATAAAAATGGAATGATCGCACCAAAACTGGTCAACTTTCCCGGACTATGAAAAACTGCTATGAAATGTTCCAAATGGAAACTTTCTTCGGTCGCTTCTTCTTGATGTGACTGCATCGGAGTACTGGATGTTGGAGGTTTAATGGAGATTTATGTTTTCGTATCTACCACTTGATTTTAAGCTTTTCCATGAAAACCAGACGGAGACGAGAGGATGTGGGGGTGCAAAACATGGAGATCCATTATTCGTTTTTTCTTCTTTGGTCCCTGCAAGTTCTAAAGGCTTGAACTGATTCTTTTTATGTATGACAGAGTATTTCAAAGATTTTTTTCTTTATTACCGTGATTTTTAGCCGTAGGCTAGTCATCACGTATATTTCAAAGAATGAGGTGAAAAAAAAAACCTATCTATCACAACAATTAAGCTGGGTTTAGACGACAAGGCAAGTCAATTGATCAAGTCAGTTGAATTCAACTGACTTGAACGCGAATTGAACGTGTAAACCATACCATTCAACTGACTTGATAAACTCACTTGAATTGAAACAAATTGAACCAGACTCAACTTTTCAAGCCAATTGAATTCAGCTGAGTTGATCATTTTACTTGCCTAGTCTAAACCCAGCTTAAACCATGCCATTCAACTGACTTTATCAACTCACTTGAATTGAAAAAAAAATGAACCAGGCTCAACTTTTCAAGCCAATTGAATTCAACTGAGTTGATGATTTAACTTGCCTAGTCTAAACCCAGCTTTGAGAAAATTATAAATAGGGTCAAACGGGTTTTGATAGAGTCAAGTAGCTAAAACCCCATCAAGGTTACACACAGAGTTTAATTTCTGAGATTGGCTGAGTATTTCAGTATTTTTATTGCAGTATGTTGATGAATAAGTCCGTAAAATTCATCAAAAATGTTTATTTACTAGTAGTTAATGTATTTTTTTTCATACAATGGGTAGGATTAAAATGATTTTAATTTTTTACGATTTATATTTGGAGACTGAGGTTAACATGTCTAGCACTTCCTGGTAGTTCGCCGGTTGGTGGCTCTTTTGGTGTGTTGGATTGCATGTCCATGTCTGGAGCTCTACAATAGGGAATATTAGTGAATGTTTTTCCTTCAAAATCAGTAATCTAGCCGAAACTCGGTAATTTTTGAACCGCCAAGCAGCTCAATCATGTTTGGTGAATGAGTTGCAAATAAATAAATGTCACTTTTGGCTGAAAACTCAGTAAAACGTATTACTGAGCTGCTCAGCGGTGCCAAAATTACCGAGATTCAACAAACAGAACTACACACCAAATTTAAATCGCTGAACATTAGCAAAAATTTGCTGATTTTAGACTTGATGAAAGATCAGGAAACATTCCAGCAAAATAATGCTGCTGATTTTTCCAACTTCTGTCAAAATGACAACCTTTTACTGAAAATCAGCAATCTTTACTGATCTTTCTGCAATTAAAAATTTTGACATTTGGCAGCATTTTGCTGATTAAACAATTAAATTCATTAAATCAAACTTGTTTTCACTATATGAGCTTCCAGCTTCTGTAAATATACGAATAATAAAGATCAAATCGCCAGACTCCTTTCCAAGTATCGTTTATTAAATACTAGCTGAGTGTGCCCGGTCTTGCTCGGGATTCAATATTAACTTGAGTTTATGCGCCGATTTAAAAAAAAGCATGCTATATTGTACGTAGCCCCCCCCCCTATTATCTAAGGGGCTACCCCCTATGATTATCTCCTTATACCCCACACTCGCCCCCACATGCCTAATTTGGTTCCATTTGCTTGATTAGTTCTCGAGTTATGCAGAAATTTCTGTTTCATTTGTATGGGAGCCCCCCCTTACACAAGGGGGAGGGGTCTCGAACCATCATAAGAACCTTCCACGGCCCCAAAAACTCCTGTATACAAATTTTCACGCCAATCGGTTCAGTAGTTTCCGAGTCTATAAGGGTCAGACAGACAGACAGACAGACAGAAATTCATTTATATATATATATATATATGTAGGATACCTGGACCGGTTTATAGCTCGGTGGATGGGTTGGGATGTTCGATGAAGTGATGGTTATTCTTCCGTAATGGTCACAGCACAGAAAACTACTTTTTTTATTTAACACCACTCTTTACTAACAGGACTCTACCAATTTACATTTATTACATTTAACATTTAACATTTAACACTAAATTGGTCACGCAGGACCGTCTTCGACCTTGTATTACTTAACACTAATTTTGACCTGCCACTACTCCTAAAACAAAACCTGAACCAAACAATCTGTGGTGAATTTACACATATACAAAATACATCTTCACCGAAATTCTCTCGCGCTCACCAGCTATCGGCTACCGATCCATCGGTTGCATCGATGACGTCAATGTAAGTGCCATCGAAAGGGAAAGTGATCTCCCTTGTTCATCTGGCTGACCGTCGACCGATTGGCGAAACAAAGGACATCCAAAACAACAGTCTGCCGTACTGCTGGTCGGTTGAGATGGTGTGTTTTAGGGTGGTCCTCGCAGACATTCTCACCCACCCTGAAATGTTGATTTCTGAACCTGAAAGAAAACAAAATCCTCTTCGATTGGGACGGGAAAGGGTAAGGTGCGCACTTCAATTCTCGCCGGTAGCCATTTCAGGAACTGGAAACAGACAAATATTCTCGACTGCTCGTTTCAACTCTCCAGATGATGTCTTCAGAGTTACGACTCTCACGACACCATCAGCACCCGGGTGTGCATCCACGATGCGGCCCATGCGCCATCGAGTCGGTGGTTGATTTTTGTCCTGAATAACAACCAGTCTTCCAACTTCAAACAAGACAGGCCTAGTCCAACTCTTGGACCTACCTTGTAATTGACAGAGGTACTCTCTCTTCCATCTGTCCCAAAAATGCTGTAGATGCTGCTGAACCAATTGATAGTGTCTTAAGCGGTTCGTGGGTACCAACCGTACGTCCGGTTCGGGAAGTGATTGTAATGAACTGCCAACCAGGAAATGTGCCGGGGTAAGAGGCTCAAGATCATTAGGATCATCTGACATCGGAATCAGCGGCCTGGAATTCAAGCAGCCCTCTACTTGAACTAGAAACGTGAACATGTCTTCGTGTGAAACAGGATTGGAACCGATGACCCGTAACATGTGATGTTTAGCTGATCGTACCGCGGCTTCCCACAATCCTCCAAAATGTGGGGAACCGGGAGGATTAAAATGCCAAGTAATCCCTTCGTTGGCACAGAACCTGAATACGTCTTGTCGATGATCAGTATCCTTCCATAGACGAAAGAATTCCTCCAGCTGGTTTCGAGCTCCAACGAAATTCGTACCATTGTCCGAATACAAATCGGTACACCTTCCTCTGCGTGCGATAAATCGTCGGAGTGCTTGCAGGAACCTTTCTGTGGACAAATCGGACACCAATTCCATGTGCACGGCCTTCGTGCACATACACACAAAAATGGCTACGTAGGCCTTCACAGCAGCTTTACGTGGGGCTGGCCGTAAATAGACCGGACCAAAGTAGTCCACTCCGGTTTTGGAGAACGGACGAGAAACCGTGACCCTCGATGTAGGTAGTTCTCCCATGAACTGCTGTATTTGTTTTGGCTTCGACCTGAAGCACGTTACACATTGGTGGACAACCTGCCTTGCAACGTTTCTTCCTCCGAGAGGCCAGTAGCGTTGCCGAACCGTTCCAAGCAGAAGTTGCGGACCGGCGTGGAGCAAACGAAGATGGTAATGTTCAAAGACCATCCTGGTTAACCGGTGTCTTGCTGGAAGAATCATGGGGTGTTTGGCGTCGTCAGGCTCGTTCGAATTACGCAAACGTCCACCGACTCTTAGAATGCCATTCTCGCAAACATAAGGATGATACCAGCGAAGTGGAGACGTTCTACTGACAGGTTCCTTCTTCCGAACGGCTCGTAGCTCAGCCGGAAATACCTCTTCCTGTACCTTTCGTATCAACGTATATTCTGCTTGCCGTAGCTCTTCCGCTCTTAGAAACCCAGTTGGACGATTTTCCGGTGTCTGAAGCGATCGTATCAACCGCAGCCAAATAGAAACGCGACGAATCAACGTCGTGTAGGAGTTCGATGTGGAGATGAACCCTTCGTTGAAATCAGCAACTGCTGACGCTGTAACGACAATTGTAGTACGCCTTCTTTCTTCCTCTCCTTCTTCTGCCGGAGCAGGATCCGAAATTGGCCAGTTGTTCCGCTCTTTAGTTAACCAGCTCGGTCCATGCCACCAGAAGTCATTGTTGATGATATCCTTCGGTCCTATTCCCCTCGAAATCAAGTCTGCCGGATTGTCAGCACCTGCTACATGTCTCCAGTCACAACCTTCTGTGATCGCCTGGATTTTAGCAACCCTATTTGCGACAAATACTGACCACGTAGACGGAGGAGCCTGGATCCATCGCAAAGCACACGTAGAATCCACCCAAAATGTTGTGTCGCCTTGAAGATTTGTAGCTTCACGTACCTTTTCGAAAAGTTGAGCAGCAAGCAATGCACCGCTAAGCTCCAACCTCGGTATGGATTGAGTTTTAAGAGGAGCGACCTTGGATTTCGACGATAGGAGTCTAACCTTCATATTCCCGTCCTGATCTTGACTTCGCACGTAGAGGCATGCACCATATGCCTTCTTCGACGCATCCGAAAAACAATGGACCTCTACCTTCACTGCGTTGGGAATGATCACGCAACGATCTATCCGAATTTCGTTAAGGATGTGTAGCTGAATATGAAGTTTTCTCCAGGACTCACCCACCGTCGAAGGTAACGGCTGGTCCCAATCTAACTTCTTGCCATTTTCATCTTCCAACGTCCATAAAAGCTGCATGAACACCTTTGCAGCTGTCGTTGTAGCACCGATAAATCCTAGCGGATCAAACAACGTAGCGATGATCGACAAAACCTTGCGTTTGGAGAGAATTTCATCGGAATCGACCGCGGGAACATCAAGCTGGAAGCGGAAGACATCTTTTCCGGGCAGCCAAGTTAAACCTAAAGCCTTTACTGACGGATCTGGATCGAGATTGATGCCGTCCGCCGGACGAATCGCTAGATTGTCGTCGGAGATATCGTGCAGGACCTCTGCACAGTTGGATGCCCATTTCCTGAGCCGAAAACCACCGCTACTCGTCATCTTATCCAGTTGGTTCTGCAACTTCTTGGCCTCTTCTAGGTTGTCGCAACCGGTGATGACATCGTCCATATATGTATCCTCTGTGATTGCCTTGACTGCTAACGGATATCGCCTTCCTTCATCCATCGCTAATTGGTTGAGTGAGCGAGTTGCAAGGAACGGAGCCGGTTTTGTTCCATAAGTGACGGTGTTTAGCTCGTAAATTTCAACTTCCTCTGATGGTGAACGACGCCAGAAGATGGACTGGAGTGGTCGATCAACAGAAAGAACAAATATCTGACGGAACATTTTTTCCACGTCAGCAACTAGCATTATCTGCTTCGTACAGCAGCGCAGGATGATGGATCGAATGTCCTGCTGTATTACAGGCCCTACCAGTAATGCGTCATTCAACGACAGTCCCGTAGACGTTTTGCATGAAGCGTCGAACACCACACGGACCTTGGTGGTGGTGCTGGCCTCTTTTACTACCGGATGATGCGGAAGAAAACAGCGTTTGATCGATCCTTGGTCATCTATGACCTTCCGCATGTGCCCCAATTGTACGTACTCCTCCATGAAGGCGACGTACTGATTCCGGTGGTTTACGTCCTTAGAAAGCCTTCGCTCGGTGCCTAGAAAACGTCGGAATGCGATCTCCTTAGACTCGCCCAACCGAGAAATGACGTTTTCATCTTTGGGAAGCGATACAGAGTACCTGCCATCCGCTCCTCGCTGTACTGTACTCGAAAAAATAGCTTCACAGCGAGTCTCTTCCGGGGAATAATTGTTCTTGGAGTCTACCTCCTCCATGGACCAGAAACGAGTAAGTAGTTCCTCCAAGCGACCCGTACTTGCAGTGTTGCAGTTGATATGCAAACCCTGATTTCCTTCTGCGAATCCTCCGCTGACAATCCAACCGAAAACGGAGTCCTGTAAGGTCGGAAGTCGCTCTCCAAATGAGATCTTCCTGCCAGAGTCGAAGAAGTCGAAAAATGCTTCAATTCCCAGAACGAGATCCACTCCCGACGAGACACAAAATGATGGGTCAGCGAGCTCGATTCCTTCCGGTATCGCCCAGCCGGTGATGTTGATGCTAGCGGTTGGTAGGTTGGCTGTTACCTTCGGAAGTACCAGGAAGGCCATCTGGCGCGAGAATTCCGACAGCCGGGAACGAATCGTTACCACAATCCTTTGTTTGACCTTGGATGCTGCCTGACCAATGCCAAGAACCGAAATATCCACCTTGCTACGAGAAACCCTTAAACGCTGGCTGAGATGTTCGGTGATAAAGTTACTCTCCGATCCTGAATCGAGAAGAGCGCGAGCTAGCATCCTATTGCCGTCGTTATCCTGAACAACGACAACTGCTGTCGCCAATAAAACCTTCGACGAGCATTGGTGCACTGTGCCGGCTACCAAGCTGTCAGTAGCTGCCAGGTTAGCTACTTGGGGAGGAGCGATATTGGATACCGATTGAGTGGAAGTAGACATAGCTTCTGGAGTTTCCTTGGCCACGTTGCTGCCTTTGGTTGGTGCCCTTGGGTTGGAGTCCCTTTCAGGTTTAAAGCAGACCAACGTGTGATGTCGTCCCTTACAATTCCTGCAGGAATACTTCGACTGACATTCCTTGGCTTGGTGGCCCTGTCTGAAGCAATTCCTGCACAACGAATTCGACCGTAGCAACGAATCTCTATCCGTCACTGACATTCGTTGAAAAGTGCCACACTGGAACAGAGGATGGTTCCCAGTACAGGCTAGGCATCGCACTCCGGAAGCTTGGACGGAATTGAAACTAGACTTCACTGCAGAGCCCTTATGCCTAGATGGAGGTAGATGGGATGATTTGGTAGCATCTGCAACCTTGGAAGGTAAGGATTCCAGAATACGAACTCGTCGTTGGAGAAATTCTGTGAGTTCCTTCAGTGTATCCTGATCTTTAGTCGAAGAGAACTCTTCCCAGCTGCGACGAGTGGATGGATCTAAGCGAGACGTCAACAGATTCACTAGTAGGAGGTCCTTGTAGTCGACCGGTTGTACGATCTGGTCCAAAGTTTGCACGACCTTCTCGAAACCTTCGACTAAAGCGTGCAGTTCAAAGGCGGATTCCTTGGTGAGGCCGGGTAATTTGAGGAGAGATTGAATTTGCCGCTTTTTCAATAGCTTGCTGTTGTTGTACCGCTTGATCAACATTCCCCATGCGACCTGGTAGTTTCCAGCTGTGATCTGGAGCGAATCGATCAAAGTTTTCGGTTCCCCTTGTAGACAACCCTTTAAGTAATGAAACTTTTCCACGTCGGGCAGATCTGTCTTCCAATGGATCAAGGAAGTGAACAGATCCCGAAAACTTAACCAGTCTTCTATCTCTCCGTTGAAGGTTTGCAGCTTAATCTGCGGTAGTCTGACACGATCAAGCGTGACTGACGTTGGAAGATCACCGCGGATGGATTGATTCAAACTAGCTGGTTCCTGCCTTTCCTTAACCTGATCTGTTAAAATTGACTTAACCTCATAGTAACGGTCACTAAACTCTTGTCTCTGCTTATCAAGTGTACTACCGCTTTCGAGTGGATCATCACCCTCTTCATCTTGCTCTTCGAAATCGTCGTGAGATTGGATTTCCACTAGAGTTACACCATACCTCTCCCACAGGTCATCGATTTTCTCCAGCCGAAGCAGGATTTGGGTGGAGGAAGTAGATTCCTGGATTTTCTCGGCGAACCGACGGATATCGTTGAAAGCGGAGTCAATCTGCTTCAATTTGGTCATCAGCAGCTTCAAACCCGATGTCTTCTTAGTAGACGACGACTTCTTGGAAGGCGCCATTGTTCCTCAACACGGTGGTAGCGAATGTGGGATGAAATAAAGAAGTGATGTAGTATTCCGCGGAGTCCCTTTGCTTCGGCGGACACACACTATTCTGACTTAACTGACCTTAGCAACAGAAGACTTCGCCAAAGAATGTTCAGCAATACCAATCAGTCTGCTTCAGAGATACACCACGCAATATTGACGATAGTTGATTCTTGTTAACTCGTGGGTCGAACGGAGAGGAGAGGAAACCAGCATGTAGTAAGCAAAAAAATCCAGCCTCGACTGGACATATACAGTGGCAGCTCACCTGGAGAAACCAAACAGCTTCGCTATTGTCCAATCGGTTGAATGGGTGCCCAAATCGATTAATTATCAATGGTAGGCAAAATCAGCAAATCAAGTTGTGACGTCACCATTCTTCGAAACTCCAAACGATTATTAATGATGATTTAGGAGAAGAGGAGGAAATCCAAATGTAGCATCAAAAGTATTCGGCTTCGGCCGGGCATATACTGCGGCTAACTCACCCAGAGAAACCAGCGGCGGTAAAAACCCAGCAACGAATCCAGCGACGTAATCAAATCGATAAAGGTGTGCAAAATGATCGAAATCTCGGTAGCCAAATCAGGGATACGTCCACAATAATTGAAGAGGATGTAAATTCAATTAAAACGTGTATTTCTGCTGCCCAAGCTTAGGCAGACATATACCTAGTTCTATTTCACTAACCTGGACGAAATACGATGGCGCTTCCTCTTCTTGTGAATTTCCTCGTGGTCTACGTTGACTCGGATGCTCAAAATGGCCACAACCAGGGCCGATGGTATTTTATATTGATGACGGCCACAACCAGGGCCAAAGGTTGTTTCAGCTGAATGGTTGCGACTGAAGTGCTAGCCAGAAATAACGACAGTTGCCAGTAACCAATAAAGATGCAGCACAGTAGTACGGAATCCTCGAAGAATAGGATTGTCCTCACCGATACCGGTTGATTATCGTCGGTCCAAATATTAACGGTCGAAGAGTGTTAAGTCCAGAGAGGGTTCGAAAAGAGGTGTTAGAATCACGACTAACTAAACTTCGGTAGGACATACACTAATTTTATAATTACCTGGAGAAACAGAAATCCAATTCCGGTTAGTGTCCAGTCCACACCGAAAGCCGTTCGAACATGTCCAGCGGAAATCCAAAGTCCACAGTCAGTGTCCAGAGTTCTATGGCGCTTACCCAAGCGACGCGCAAACTCGTTGACAATGGATCCCTTGATGCCCTTTGACACCACTAGCGATGGCGATGATCCAATTATGCCTCGCTAATTACTCCGCGAAATGATGGCGACACTCCTTTCTTCCGCGGAACACAATGAAACGATTGTTGGATGGTATGCGGCTGTTTCCAAAGTCCTGTGGCGCCGATCGAGCTTTGAGTCCTTGTCTGGCACGGTCCTTAGGCATCCGGCTCGAAGGACCAAATATGTAGGATACCTGGACCGGTTTAAGCTCGGTGGATGGGTTGGGATGTTCGATGAAGTGATGGTTATTCTTCCGTAATGGTCACAGCACAGAAAACTACTTTTTTTATTTAACACCACTCTTTACTAACAGGACTCTACCAATTTACATTTATTACATTTAACATTTAACATTTAACACTAAATTGGTCACGCAGGACCGTCTTCGACCTTGTATTACTTAACACTAATTTTGACCTGCCACTACTCCTAAAACAAAACCTGAACCAAACAATCTGTGGTGAATTTACACATATACAAAATACATCTTCACCGAAATTCTCTCGCGCTCACCAGCTATCGGCTACCGATCCATCGGTTGCATCGATGACGTCAATGTAAGTGCCATCGAAAGGGAAAGTGATCTCCCTTGTTCATCTGGCTGACCGTCGACCGATTGGCGAAACAAAGGACATCCAAAACA